ATCTCCGGATGCAACCCTGTTCCCCCCTCTTGCACTTCCAATTTGTTTGGAAGTTCGTAGTCTGTTTTATGGGAAAAGACGGAACTAAAATAGGAATTGAGCACCTCTGCCTTTTCTCTGTCCTCTGTCATCATTTTTCCATCTCCATTGTGGAGCTGTGCCACTATGTCTTTTGTCTGTCTTTTGCTACTCACATACCTGAAGAATGCTTTTTTTATTGCTTTTAGTGTCTCTAGCTAACCTCAGCTCATTCTCAAAGGAAATGAGCTTTTGCCCTCCGAATCCCTGCATTTCTTTGCTACTTGTCTGTACCCTTCCTTGGTGGCCCGACCTTCTTTCCATTTCCTATATATCTCTTTTTTGTTTTTAGGTCCTCCCTGAGCATTTTGTGAAGCCAAACTGGCCTTTTTTTCCGCCTCGCACCATTTTTTCTTGTTGGAATTGTTTGTAGTTGTGCCTTTAGAATTTCTTCTTTAAGCAGCTCCCACTCTTCTTGGACTCCTTTTCTTGTTACAATCTCCTGCCATGGGACCTTACTTATTTTTGTTCCGAGGTTATTAATTTTTTTTATTCCAGCAGATCCTGCCATGGGACCTTACTTATTCTTGTTCCGAGGTTATTAATTTTTTTTAATCCAGGAGATGTGTGTGGCTACACTCTGCTTTCATTTCCTTTGTAATCAAGAATTCTAGAAGAACATAGTCACTCTCACTTAGAGTTCCCCTTATTGCCACTTCCCCCACTAAGTCATCTTTGTTGGTCAGAACCAAGTCAAGGATAGCAAATCCTCTAGTTTCTTTCTCCATTTTTTTGTAGAAGAAAATTATCAGCCACACAAGCCAGGAATTTGTTAGAGGGGCCATAATTGGCAGAATTTGTCTCCCAACACATATCTGGATAAATTGAAATCTCCCATCACTACTACGTTGTGTTTCTTTGAAAATCCTACAATTTATTTTTCAAAAGTTTTGTCCACTTCCTCTCTTTGATTGGGTGGTCAGTAGTCGACTCCAACTACCAAGTTCCTTTTGTTTTTTGCCGCAACTAGATTGATCCAGATGCTCTCGATGGGACAGCCACTCTCCTCCTCCTG